ACTCCTTGAAGACTACAACTCCCAGCGCCCACCGAGCCGCGGCTGCGCGGACGTCGTACAGGCCCCGCCCCTCACCTGGCCCCGCCCCCGGACGCCGGAGTCTGCGCGCGAATTCCGTGGCGCGAATTTGGGACTGTAGTTGAGCGCCCAGGGGTTCCAGGTGTGACGCCCCGGACTGCGACGCGCGGGGCCGGCGTGAGGTAAGTGGGGCCGCCCTCGCGGGGCTGAGGGACGCCCGGGGCCCGCGGCTTTGAGGGTCGGTCGGCTTAAGCGGGCGGAGCGCGGTGAGGAGGGGAGAGGGCCAGGCCAGGTAGGAGGTAGACGCGGGCTGGAGCCAGTTGGACGGAGAGGGTTTCGCGCGAGGCCTAGAGGGCCGGGCCCACCTGGAAGGTGGCGTGGTTAGGGAAAGGCTCAGTGGGCTGGGGCCTCGGAAAATTGGAGGGGCTTGGGATGCGGGCCACCTGAAGGGCGGTGTGCCAGGGAAAAGTTTAATGGTGAGCGGGGCCGAGGAAAAGTTGGAGGCAGCGTCAGCTTTAAGAGGTGGGCCCAGGTGGGTGGAAGTGGGGCCAGGGAGACTCATTGGTAAGGTCCAGGTTTCGGCAAAGGCCTCGGGAAAGGTCGGGAACCTCCTCGGATAGGGCGTGGTCTGGTCTCCGGTATACCTGTCAGGGGGCGGGGCCAAGGGGAGGGCTCTGAAGGCTGGGCTGCTGGTGGGAGGCCCAGGTCTGGGAAGGGGTGGGGCCAAGGAGATGGTCGCTGAAAGATCTGGGATTTTGGTTGCCCACATGAGTGGAGGGAAGGCCAGAGGAGCTTGGGGAGGGAAGAGAGAATGATCTTGATGCCCTTAGGTGAGGGGGAAGCTTGACGGGTAAGGGGGAGGGCACTTGGGAGCGACAAGAAAGGAACATTTGGGAAGGGGAGCTAGCTTGTGAACACTGAGGGGGATTGGTGAGGGGAGACAGGAGAAAAAGGGATTAAAGACATCACTGTTTGGCCATCCCCATTTCAGTGCATTTGAATTTCTGACTTTTTATACAGCCTGAGAAGAAGGCATGAGGGAAAGGCAGGAAAGTCAAGTGTAAGTAGGACCTCCTGGATTTCATCTTATCTCAGGATCCACTGGGAGCTCCCTAGGCTGCAGATTTCCCCCTCCATCCCCAGAGCTTCTGATTCAGTAGGTCAGGGGGTGGAGTAGGGGTTATTTTAAACAGGAGCGCCAGCTGGTTCTCAGAACTGGCATCCTCTGTTGCTGGTATCCATCATTGACCAGCTGTGGGCCTGGGGTAAGCACTTTCCCTTTCCAATATCAGCTTCCTCAGTTGTCCATTAGGGATGCTGAGCTTTTTTAAGCCTCAAAGGATGAAACAGAGTGGCATATTTAGGGGAAAGGTATAAACTATTTCACAGGGGGTGTGACTAGGGGAACAGACAGGCCAGGAAATGTGAACTTCTATTAAATAGAAGAACTGCAGACTTGAGCCTTCGGGCTTGTCATCCTCAAACTGTTCGACACTAAAGACCCTTTTGCATCACTCCTTGTCACCATGGCCTGCAGGTTTTGAAAGATCCTGCCTATGAATTCTCAATTTTTCAGTAATGTTTTTCTTACCCCGATTTTTAATCAAAGACGTGCATATGCCAGTGCAGTCAGTGCCAGGCACTGTTTTAGGTCCTGGGGCCATATCACTGAACAAAACAAAATCCCTGTTGTTAAGCGTAAATTTTAACTTCCAGGACTGAAAGTCTTTTTGAAAGAAAGGGTTTATTAGGCCATTGCTAGCAAGAAAAGACCAGGTCCTGGGGCATGAAGTCTGAACCACTAGCAACAGTGGCAGGTGGGAATACCAGGCATGCCCAACATCCTGGAGCTGTTGAGGGTATTTACGTATCAAGTAGAGGGAAGAGCAGTGTAAGCCACTCCGAAAGAATTTACATTAGCTAGAGACAAAGGGGATGGGAGAAGGTGAGGCTTGGCCAGCTCTGAGATAGGCCCAGTCTGTAAGGAAAAAGTGTCCGCTCCTGTGAATCAGCTGCGGGCAGCAGATTGGACAGTTCATGTGTAAATCAGCAGACTCCGTGTGGGAAGGAGGGTTCTTTTCTTGTTCTCTGACTTGGAACTCTTCCTGCACTAATAAATCTCATTGGCAAATTATTCTGGTTCGGAAAAAGGGAGTTTCTTCTTAAGGGGGAAACTCATGTTTCTGATTTTGTGGTTTTCTTTTTCCTGAAAGGAGGTTTATGTGTTTTGATATCTGCTCAAGCAGTCTTCTCACCAAGTACTTGGACATCTGTTCCAGAACAGCTGACAGGAGACAAAGCTGGGAAGGGACAGTTCCACCGCCATCATGCAGCGAAGTATCATGTAAGGGACCCAGTCCTCCTTTCCATCTTAAACTCTCTAAGCCTCTGCTTCTCTCTCTTTCTGCCTTTTCTTAGAAAAACTCAAGTTGGCATTTTCCAGAAGTTGACTAGTATGGAAAATGGGGAGTGGGCCATGGAAAACAAGTGGTGTATTAACTAAAACATTTTCGGCGCAGGGTTCAGAATCCTTAAGCCAGTGGTTCAGTCAGCGGCAGTTTTGCTCCCACAGCCCAAGGGAACATCTGTAGTATCTGGAGATATTGCTGTTGCCACAGCTGGGATGAGAGGGTAAAGGCCTAGCTTGCTTCCGAACATCCCAGATCCAGGACAGCCCCCTACAGCAGAGAGTGACCTGGCCCAGCGTGGCAGGCATACCAGGCTGAGGAACCCTGTACAACGTAGGCTGGCTTCAGGAGAAGAAGAAAGGGAATTACTTGGCTTGTGGAATTGAGATCTTCTGGAGTTAATAGTTGGATCTAGTTGCCAAAATCTTGCCCCTGGGAATCTGTCTCTTCATCTTTCAGCTCTGCTTTCTCTCATGTTGCGTCGTGTTGGCAGGTTCTTTTCCTTGGGCTCTGGAACCATGGAGTTAGCAGTCCCAGTGGAAAGATGCTGTCTCTCTCCCAGCTGTGCCCACCCTGATAGTGGGTGAAAGGGCAGGCCCATGCAAATCTCACGTACTGAGAGAATTTGGGGAAGGGGCCTCCTGAGAGAAAAGTGGAGGGCTGTTATCAGGAAAATAGGGATGGGTTCTAGACAGACCCAGACCTGGACATCCACCACGCAGGCCTGGGAAATGGTAGCTCCCATGGACCCCAGGTTTCATTTTTCTCATGCGCTGAGAAATCTGGGGCTAATCTCTCCTTGGCACATACAAAGTGCTTAGTTAATACTTGTCAAATGAAAATGGTACATATCTCTCAGGTTGAGTTAGGGCAGAAAAATAAGCGGAGTGTTGCCTCTTCTGTCTGAGCTTTGGTTTCCTTATCAAAGGGGGTTGTTTGAAATCTGTTACACGCTAGGATGGGAACTGGCATAAGCTGTAGAGGACATCATAGATGGGAGGGGTAGTTGGTGCTGTTATCATTCCCTTTTCTCTCCTCTCCTGTCCTCCAGGTCATTTTTCTCCCCCAAGAAAGAGGGCAAAGCAAAGAAGCCAGAGGAGACATCCAACAGCATCAGAGAGGCTGAGCCCCCTCCGAAGTACGTAATGGTGCTGGGACGTGGTGAATTTGTTCCTTAATCAGCCAGGACTCTCTTGGCTGCAAGTGTTAGAAACTCAGCTCAGAGTGTGTCAGGAGCACAGAGGGAATGTTTGACTTCAGTAACTGGGAAGTCGAAGCTATGTCCCACTTCAGGCACAGCTGTATTCAGGGCCTCAAAGATGTCTTCAGTGCTATGTTCCAGTTGTCAGGCTTCATTCTAAGTGAGCTCGTCTAAGTCAGTGACTTGCAACTTTTTTCATTTCCTGGCACATAAACTCATTACTAAAATTCTGCAGCACACCAAAAAATATATTTTTTGCTGATTTGACCCAAAAAAATAGGTATAGTTTGGTTCATTCACATGGGACGGCTATTGTGTTGGCTCTTGTCATTTTTTATTTGACAATCTAAGGGAAAAGAGGTCAGTGCCCGTGACTAAGTAGTCAGGTACTGCATGTCCCTAAATTGTGACTGAAACAGCCTATGCTGCAACAGTCTATATGTGTGTCCCCAAGGGCACAGGTACAAATTTTTTTCTGGCATGGATACCCTCTGTAGAATTATACAAGGTAATTGATAATATGTCAGCTCAGAGAAGTAGGTAAAGTAAAAATCTGAAGTCTTTCCAATATTCACTCTCCAGAAGAACTGCTTTTACCAGTTTGAGGTATACCCTTTTTTCTGTGCCTATAAACATGTGTATCTATCAGAGTTATTGACACATAATAGGTGCTCAGGAAATATTTGTTGAGTGAGTGTTTCCCATACTTACATATTGTACAGTAGGACTGTCTTGTTGGTCACTATCTCAACTGGCACATCCCTGATATATGCCAGATATTCAATAATATATACCTTTATTTTTAAATAGCAAAAGCTGGGTTATTATATATGCAAGTTGCAGATAGGTAACATTCATGGACTTTTACTGTACATATTCATTTACTCAAGAAATATCTATTGAGTATCTTCTCCATGTCAGGCACTGTTCTGGATCCTGTGGCTTTAGCAGTCAACAAAATCAACATCATCTCCTTTTGTACTAGTAGATTGTCTTGGGTCCCAGGTTCCTTCCTT